CTACAATCAAGGGAAACAGGGATGAGTTTTAATTTCTACTCTATGTAGTGATCTGTATTATTCCCATGATCTATAAGGTGATATCTTCACTCCTCTGTCCTGTCAGGAATCTTCTCAGCCCATCACCAGGTGCACAAGGATCGTGACAAACCCGTCATTTCCCCAGGATTTTTCCTTCATTTCTTGGGGGTTTCAGCTCTCCTGGTGCATGTTCTGCTGCCTTTGGGGTTTAATCCTCTCCCCTCTGTTTACCAGGATGCTCACGAGCTGTTCCATGTCCTGACCTCTTCCCTGGAGGACGAGCGGGACCGTTGGCCCCGCGTGGCTCACCTGTTTGATGTGCACTCCCTGGAGGTGAGTTCACCTCTCAGATCCCATTCCCAGGGAAGTTTCTGGGATCCTTACTGTGCCAAGTGTCCGTGGAAGATAATTCACAATGTTCCTTTAGTAGTTTGATAGAAATCAATCAATCATTCAGTCAGGGATAAACCCAGTGGAAAATGGTTTTCTGGAGAGAATGGGTTTGATTGACACTGGTTCCACTTTCACTGGGGTTTCTCCATCCCTGAATCCAGTGGATATAGGGATCTAAGTATTAGTAGAACAAGAGTTCATCCAAGCAGTTCCTATTATCTGTAGTGGACACAAGGAAAAGGGTTGAAAACTGCCAAATGGACATTTCTGGAAGTGAAATTTATCCTCCAGTTTGTGGTAACTGGACACAGAGAGGAAGTTTCTATCTCCTAATGCCTGAAATATGTCCAAAATGTTTATCAAATCTCATCTGTTTTGGTGCTCTGAGGCAGAGAATCTGCAGGTTCATTAGTCCTTTATTAGCAGTTCTCTTTTGGGTCAGTTATAAACTTGTTTTGTGCCAGTTTGTTTTGCTCTTCGATGATAAAGAGCCACTCAAACTCCACAATTATTCCCTGAGCCAACTGGGGCTGAAATAGAAACATAATTAATCCTCGATGTATTAAATTTCTTAATATTTTCTATGTTTCTAACGTGCAGTTAATGAAATCTTTTCCTCTGTAGCAACCAGAAATAACCCAAAAGCAGATCAGCTGCAGGACAAGAGGTGAGAGATTATCCCTTCTGGAATAGGAATGTTCATGGTGTTTGTTGTGGATATGAAGGGGATAATTAACTGGTGTTTGTTTTGCACTGAAATAGATCTCAAAACCCAGAAATAAACTCATTGAAATATACCTCAAAACCACAAATAAACAGTACAAATAACCCCAATGAGTTGTTTGTCAGTGGGACAGAACTTGCTTGAGAGCAGTGAAAGTTGTTCCTGTGAGGCAAAAAAACCTGTGGAATTAGAGTGATAAAGGTGGATGGATGGAAAATAAAAGGATAATATGTTGCAGGAACTCTTCCCCCTATGGCAAACCACTGGAAGTCTCAGCATCCTTTCCATGGAAGACTGACCAGCAACATGGTCTGCAAACACTGTGAGCACCAGGTAAAACCACCTGAATGGTGACACTGATGTGTGGGAAGGGATGTCCAGCACTCCTGGAAGCAGCATTCCTTGTTCCTGGCATGGCTGCAGCTCCAAAGGTTTGCAGGGCTCAGTCTGGGCTGTTAATTTCTCAGGTGTTTATTGTGCTGTTGGTGAGGAATGAGGATTTATTCAGGTTGCCAAGACACATTCAGTCCTGTTTCCCTGAGGGAAAATAACCTGGAAAAAAGAGAGAAAAATACAGCAAATAATCTCCTTTCTAGGTCAGACTGTAGAATTAATTTGTACTTTAACTTCTCAACACTTTACAAACACTTCGCAATGAGCAGAAGGAGCTTAAGCAGCACCTTGTACCTACTGTTCCCCAGCACTGCTGGATCCCATTCCTCCAGGGAATTTTGGGCAGCACAGGGGCAGATGTTCCCTGAGTTGTATGTTGGTGTGACATCAGTGGCAGCTCAGAGGTGTGAACTGTTGTCTTGCAGAGCCCTGTGAGGTATGACACCTTCGACAGCCTCTCCCTGAGCATTCCAGCAGCTGTGTGGGTAAGTGTGCCATGGGAGCACCATCCAGCCAGGCTGCCTGAAGGCTCTGCCTTCCCTGGAGCCTTCCTCAGGTGCTGCACTGCACATGAGGAGCTGTTTTGGGGAGTTTAGTTTGCTGTTTCATGCCCCTGTTGTGCTCCTGGAGCTCCTCAGCATTCCTGTGTGAGTAAGCACAGCAAACAGCACTTGGGTGAGAGCAGGAGAGTTTGGTGTTTGTCCTGCTGGAGGATTTGGACCTTCTGTGTAATTTGAACAGCCCAAATCATACCCCAGGTGTGGACAGGTGACTTTCAGCTGCTCTCTCTGTGCTGCCACTTCACACCTTACCCCATAGTGGCTTTTCTGTGAAGTGATTTCAACTGGGAATTGTTTCAAATGCCCAAACATTGTGGATTTTGGGGGAAAAATGTTCAGGGTATTTCTGAATTGTAAACAGTTTCATTCAACCCTGGCAGTGCTCAAAACCAGATTGCATAAAGCCTTGAGCAACCTGCTCTGGTGGGAGGTGTCCATGCCTAGGGCAGAGGGTTGGGGCTGGATGATCCCTAAACTCCATCCCAGCCCAAAGGTTCCTGCACCTAACTGGTTTCTCTCCATGCCCAGGGCCGACCCATGACCCTGGACCATTGCCTGCACCATTTCATCTCCTCAGAGTCTGTGAAGGACGTGGTGTGTGACAACTGCACCAAAGTAGGTCCCTCTCACTTCTGTGGCAGCTTTGAGCCTCCTGACAGGATTCTGCCTTCAGTTCTCAACTCCCTCCTCTTCAGGCCTTGAGGAAATCAACTTGAGACACCATCTATGATTCCATGAAAGCCTCTGGCCTGCCTGGGATTGCACATATGAACACAGAGTTCTTCCCTCGTGGAACATTTGAGGCTTTATTTACTTACTACTTCTATCCCAAACCTTACAAATATTTAATTCTTCAATTACCAGGGATTATTTAGATCCTGTTTGGGATAAATTTTTTTGTTATTCTGGGATTGTTTCAAAGCTAACACAAAGATACAGAAGTACACATCAACCTGGAAATGGGGTTTGTTCTACACTTGGACATCTCTGCTTGACTGGGCTTTAGAATGATCCATGAGGATAGGTCAGGAGTTCTGAAGGAAACTCCTAGCAGGCTGTGGGTGTAATTAGAGGTGTAATTAACGCACTGGGCGCAGCTCTAGACACAGAAACTCTTTGCCTCCAGGGGAGAGACCTGCACTGGGATGTGTCACCACACCCAGCAGTAACCTAATGGCTCTGTTTGTTGTTCCCTTTGGTTTCAGATCCAGGCAGAAGGAATTCTGAACGGGCAGAGCATAGAGAACCAGAGAACAACGTTTGTTAAGCAATTAAAGTTAGGAAAGGTGAGGCAAGTTAACCCTCCACATCCATTCCTGAATCCTGGTAACTTCTCCCTTTGCTCTGTTTGCTTTGTGGTCACTTGTTGGTATTAGACTCCTGTAATGTTTTGTTTTAAAAACTCTCAACTCCTTTGGCAGATATTTGTAGGCATTGAGGTCTCAATTCAGCAAACTCTAAAGCTTAAAGAATGGGAATATCCCACTGTTACTCAGCAAAACACTTAAATGTGTCCTTAGCTGTGAGTTTGGCTCAGTGGCAGGTCCTGCCATGCCTTAATTCCTGATTCCTTTGCTAAGCAAACTGATTTATATCTACAATCTTTGCAGCACCTTTAGCAATTGCACATTTTTACATCTTTAGCAACGTCTGTAATGGATACAAATGCTCTAGTACAGCTGGGTCAGGCAAGTGACTGTGGTGATAACACCAGGTGTAATTTGGACCTATTTTTCACCCTGCAGGGGACAACAGAGCACTGATGTGTAATTAAGAGCCTTGGGTGCTGTTATTAATGATACTACTAATAAAATGTGCTAATTGCTAGAGGTTAACCCTGGCATGGCTTTGAATTTCAGCTGTTTCTACCTACTTGAGCTTTTCCTATTGGTTTTTTTTTTGTGTGCAGAGCCATTATTTATTGAGGATGAGGAATCTCACAAGAGTCAGTGCCTTGTCCTTAGGGACTGTGTTGCCACTGAGCTGACACACAGCTTAAGGGAGCAGCTCAGGGATGCATTTCCCTATCCATTACACTTAGCAGCTGTTTCTGTTCATTTCTGACGTGTCCTGACTGTCATTCCCTGTGCAATGTTGCTGCAGCTCCCTCAGTGTCTGTGTATCCACCTGCAAAGGCTGAGCTGGTCAAACCAGGGCACTCCCCTGAAGAGACATGAACATGTTCAGTTCAGTGAGTTCCTGGTCATGGACATCTACAAGTATCGTGTTCCTGTCCATTAGCAGCTGTTTCTGTTCATTTCTGACGTGTCCTGACTGTCATTCCCTGTGCAATGTTGCTGCAGCTCCCTCAGTGTCTGTGTATCCACCTGCAAAGGCTGAGCTGGTCAAACCAGGGCACTCCCCTGAAGAGACATGAACATGTTCAGTTCAGTGAGTTCCTGGTCATGGACATCTACAAGTATCGTGTTCCTGTCCATAAATCCTGCCGAGCTCAGCATAGGAAAAACCTGGAGGAGACACCACCTGGAACAAAGGATGGGATGGCAGGGAAACCTCCAGGTACTGCCTTTGCCAGGAAAATACAGTAAGGTGTCAGTGAGCAAACATTCCAACCTGCAGAACGAGCCTTACAGCAGTGTCTGCACTTGGATCTGTGCAGAGGACAAGGACAAATCCCTTTCCATTAGGATACCTTGTCCTAAATGTACAGCTCAGGTTTGCTAAGTTATTTTGGTCCTAATAAGTGTTAAAAGAAACCAAACAAACTTACAAAAGGCAGCACAGAACTCACATGTTTCACGGCCAAGGGATGAAGGAATGTTGGACTTGGGATGTGCTAGGGATGATCTTCTCAGTGATCTCTTCTGAGGCTCCAGGACAAGCATAGGAAAAATGGTAGAAGGGTGAATTCCTGGAAAAGAATAGGAAAATCCAGCTGGAGGAGGTGTGTCCTTTAGGCAGTTCAGAACTCTGTTAGTTGGGAGTTTGGACACGTGGTAATTTTGATATTTGTCATGTAAACCCATGTGGATATAATATCCATTGTCTCTGGATATTAGTCTTCTGCCTCTGGAAGGGATTGTGGTGTGTAGTGAATTAAAATCCCTTCACATTCCATGATGACAAGTACTGCAGGAGCACAGTCCTGTTATTAGCCATGGAACACTTGTGTTTAGGTTACATCACTGAATTCTCACCTCCTCTTGCAGATGCAGAGCAGCCACCTGGTACCAAACCTCTCCTCATGAATGGTGCCTCCTCCTCCTCCTTTTTCATGTCTCCAGGAACTTTTCCACTTGCTGCATTCCCTGAGTGCAGGTAAGTGAGGGATTTGTGCCCTGTCTGGTCAGTTGTGTGTTTCAAATGGTCTTTCCCTTAGTCTCTGTTGGTGCCGGGGCTGCACAGGCACAGGATTGAACATGTGCCCTAGCTCTGGGCTTATCTCTTGGCTGGTTTTTACTCCTAGAAAAGGGAGAAGAACATGTTATAAGTAAAACTCACAATCTCCTTTCTCTGGTTCATGGTGCAGTAACTCATCCTTGTGCATAGCCATGAAATCTCATTCTTGTTGCTTTCCTCTACCCCTTCATTTTTGACTCTTTGATTTTTAATCTATGGCAAGAAATCCACAGATCCCTTACAGATTTCTTTCAAACACTGTATTTAACAATCCTGATTCCACCTGCTAAATCAGCCTTGAGGCTTCTCCTCATAATCCTCTTTCCTGCAGTCACAGAATCATGGAATGGTTTGGGTTGGGAGGAACCTTAAAGTTAATCCATCCAGTTCCACCCCCTTGCCCTGGGCAGGGACACCTTTCCCCAGCCCAGGTTGCTCCAAGCCCCATCCAGTCTGGCCTGGAATACTCCCAGGGATGGAACAGCCATAACCTCTCCTGCAAGGCAGAGTGTTCTGGAGCTGTGTCCTTGCTCTGAGAACAAACTGGGGCTCGTACACAAGTATCTAAGGGTGTGCCAGGAGGGTGGGATCAGGCTCTGCTCAGTGGTGGAAGCCAACAAAACGAGGTAACAGCAGAAAGCAACACACAGAAAGTTCCACCTAATTAAATACAGGGAAGAACTTCTTCCCTGTGCAGTGACCAAGCACTGAACAGAGGTCATGGATTCTCCCTCACTGGAGATACTCCAGAACCATCAGAGGACAATCCTGTGCCACGTGCTTGAGCAGGGAGGTGGGACCCACTGTGATCCAACCTTAACCCACTCTGGGGCTGCTCCTGGGCCGTGTGTGGACAGGACCTGACGCTGTGCCGTGTCCCCCCAGCTCCCCCGTGTACCTGTACCGGCTGATGGCAGTGGTGGTGCACCACGGGGACATGCACTCGGGGCACTTCGTGACGTTCCGGCGCTGCCCGCGCGGGGCAGTGCCCGGGGGCAGCCAGTGGCTCTGGGTGTCGGATGACACGGGGCGCAGGGCCCGCCTGCAGGAGGTCCGGGCTCCCAGCGCCTACCTGCTCTTCTACGAGAGGGTCCACACCAGGGCTCAGCACCAGGGCGAGCGCTGAGGAAGGGCCCGGGAGGACAGAAACTGCCACCGATCCCTCCGAAATAAATCCCGCCCGAGATCGGCTACTTTGCACCTCTTTGTTATGCAAATAACCCACCCGA